TGTGTGTGTGTGTGTGTGTGTGTGTGTGTGTGTGTGTGTGTGTGTGTGTGTGTGTGTGTGTGTGTGTGTGTGTGTGTGTGTGCGTGCGTGCGTGCGTGCGTGCGTGCGTGCGCGCGCGCGCATGAAGTTATTATTATAAATGGAAAAATTATTTCAAAAACATTTTTAAAAATTATTAATGTCGCTCTGTATTGATTCAATTATTTTCAATGTGGCTCTGGATTCTGTTATCACCTTTACATAATTTTCAACGTCATATAGAAATGCATATAATGAGACGCATAAATAAAAAAATGTGCTTATCGATTTAGGAGGAATGTCACGCATCTGAACGAGTTAGTTATAATCTACTCTTTCTTTCAAAACTAATGGCGCAAAGCAGGAACAAATGTTTTTACGGAATTTTGCACGTACCAACACTCGTTAATCGAAGAAGGAAGTGACATTTTGCGAAGGGAAAGCGGAAGTTCGGTTTGCCGCGAGGTCGCGTGAGTAGGAAGTGAGACTCTCACTGGTTTCACAGAGGCGCAATGTCAAATGATTAAAAGGTCGAACGTGTGTTCAAAGAAAATACATACTTTTGTTATAATCAAGTAAATAAACGATAAAGTATACTTCGGATAAAAGGAATGATTTATGAGTTATTGGAAGGAGCTTGATTATTTTAAAGATTAACAAAATTTTTCATTTTAACAAAAAAATTTATAATATGTTTCAGCAACTGATGTTGATTATGATTTTCTTTCTTCTTTTCGAAAGCTTGAAAACTGAACGTGATAACGTGTTAATAATACCAATATATCAATACAGGAAGATTTGGCCACTTTATCATCGTAGATATGATCTATCATACGATCGGTGGCCAGAGGAGTCTGACTCTTATCCAATTAGGGAGTGTTCTAATACACGCTGCAACATACGGGCTTATGAGGGTGAGCTGTCGAATCTCATGGGGAGGTGTTTTCATCCCCGAACAGATTCTCATGTCACTAAATATAACAGCTAATGGGAGTCAGTTTCCGTTATGGTGGCCGGACTATATACAGAGATATCAGACTGGGATATGCGGGTTCTTTGTAAAGACTGCGTGTGTGCGAGAGAGAAAAAGAAAGAGAGAGAGAGGCTCCTGGCACTCCCGTTTCTGCGATAGCTTTATAAACCATGTACGATTGAGCGTGAAATTTTCAGATGACTCGATAAATAAGATTATGATTCTCATAATTTTTTTTTGTTTATCATCATTTTATTTTTTAATAATATTATTTTTTATATTTAAATAAAATAATTATATTTTATATTTGATTATGAAATGAAAGGATTAAGTACTTAAAAATTATAAATAATTTTATATTATTATATTATGCAAGTTTTTGTAGAAAAATTAAAAAAAGAAGAAATAGAAATATATTTCACACATATCATTGTTTTACAAAATTATAAGCGTGTAAATTATTTAGAAAATTTAAATTTTTTAATAAGATTTTTGTAACAAGTTAGTGCAAGAGATTGAGAATTGCAAGAAATAACTCTAATCGTTGATCTAATGAAATAATATTCACATATGTGAAAGCGATTTGCTATATAATTAATGACAGAAAAAAGAAACTTATATATAATTATAAAAGAAACTTAAGTATTATAGAGTGAACATCCTATATATATATTTGACTACAGAATCGTAAAAAATAGACATTTTTTTTAGTATAGAATAAAGTTTTTATACAATATAAAATAGAAAACACAACATTTAGTGCAAAATGCAGAAATTTGAGATTTTGATATATCTTAAGAATATATTCAAAAGAAAAGACCAACTTTTTGTCCCCATGAACAAAAGATAAAAAAATAAAAGAAGTAAACAATAGCAAGCATCCGGCACGTGTGTAGCGTATGTATCATTAATTGCGAGAGTGAAAATATGCATGTATATATCATGTGTTGCACAGAACGACATCACGTTCAGCCGGGGACTTTTCTTGCAGCTTCACATCTCTTCGTATTGCTGTCTCAGACAACGAAAGAAGTGGGCGACGAAAAATAGTCGTATTTAATTTCGCATCCTTTCTGTCTTGGTGTTGTGCAATCTGGCGAGCAAAGGTCGAAATAACTCGATGGACTCTTTTTTTGTTAATCCGATTTTATTAAAATTAAATAGCATCTTTATTTAAAAAGTTAATAATATGTGAAATTGTATAAGGCATTCAATATAAGAGCACCGCATTCCTTGCATATATCTTCATAACAAAGAAAACAAAGTCCGGAATCACGCTAGGAATATCACATACTGAGTATTATCATGACGTCATGGGATTTTTTGTGACAGATCTTTAAATGCATCCAAACATGTTCTTTCTTTTCGTTTTCTCATTGTTGGCGTCATTCGCACATTGAAGGAATGTGCAACGATGACGCATTGGAAAGTGCAACGTCGTTTGAACTTCTACGTCATAATATTAATTCGCCGAACGTACGTCATAGTTATGAATCAGAATTTAAATAATTATGTACAATGCATTTCAAAATTTACTATATATATATATATATATGTTTCTAATAATGTTTAATGTTTAAATTCTATGTTACGTATTTTTTTATCTTCAATTTCTTTTCTTTATGTTTCTTCTGTAAAAGATATCTTTTATCTTTTCTAAAGAGAATGTAATGGCTTTTTTATCATTTTTGAAATGATAAGAAGGTTAGACAATAGAAAAATGTTCTACAATGATTATTATACTGTATAGAAAAGAGTCTTGAATTTAAATTTTAATCTCCTACAGATTCTTATATATA